TATGCTTGTTTCTTATTACATCTTAACGAAATAAAAAAACTTACTGAGACCGTTTCCATAGTCAATTATTATATTCTCTCTCTCAAAAAGACAAAATGTTCGGTATTTGCAACAAGACGAACGGCGGGGGGGGCAGGCAGCAACTGAAATAACATTTTCTTGGGCCGCACCAGCCAGCTATAACAAATATAAGTAATCAAGGTTTCTATTAGAAACCAACACCCCCTCCCCCCTCCCCCCCCCGCCGGGCGGCGCGTCAATCGTTTTTATAAAACTTGCATGGGGGAAAAAGCTCTGTTGCCCGGTATACTGCCGAAACCAAACTAAACGCTTCAATATTAACTCGCTCTCTTTTGTTGGGTATTGACTTCGAATAAAAAAAAAAAAAAAAAGGTTATCGCATTATATCGTAAACAAAACGAAAATAAAATAAAACAACCACATATTTAGGTATGTGGGAATATTTCAGTTCAAATAACCTCTTACTAAAGTATCGATTGAGAAACCAAATTTTGGGGGTGGTGCAATCCCTCTCGCCCTCCGGTTTCTTATTATACAAATAATAAAACCGCGCAGGCGAGGAAGCAAGAAGAAAGTAAATACCCATAAAAAAAAGACAAAGGGCACTCCCGCTGCAATATCAAGCAGGTTTTTGTCCGGAGGAGGAGCACCTCCCAAGCATATTTACCTAGCATATTTACCTACTTGTATAGTACGGTTATGTTGCTTATGTATAAGCATTTTTAGTTTCTCGGCCTCCTTGCATTCAGGCCACATAACCCAACCCTTGTCACAGGCGGCAAGACTACTTTAATTTAAAAAAAAAAAAAAAAAAAAAAGCTGCCCATTTTCCGCGGCACCGGTACCTCCCGCTTCCCCGGCCGGCTGGTCCCTGACAAAAGGGAGAAATCTATCAGCACCGGCATCGACTCGGTTCCTACATAAGATGCCTTCTTTCTCCTTATGCAGCTCCAAGCTGCTGGAATAACGGTTTCCTCCTTAGCGGCCCGGAAACTTTCTCCATCATGATGTTGGAGTAACTTTTTTGTACAGGGTTGACATTTTCATATACGGTACTGTACTGTAGGTACATATGTATGTACCTACATATACCGATATGCTTATAATTACAATCCGTCGGCAAAAGTCTTGGTGAAACAACAATTTTGAGCGCCCTGCCACAATACCTCGATACCTTCAATTTTCATGAATAACACAACAACCAGAGGTCGCTAAGTTCTGAAATGGGATATGAGATAAGTACAGGTAGTAAGGAAGTAAAATCCAAGATGACAGGACAATTAAAGAAAAATTGCAAATGAGATGAAAGTTAGAGTTGTGGCTAGTAGCGAGTGTACCAGCCCTTAGCCGCAATCACCGGCTCCTCCACAACGACTCAATTACAGACTCAGCAAGCCTAGTACGTACTGCATCTGGCCCTCCAGGGGTATTGGAGATGTCAGGGTACTTTTTATGCAGGTACCTTTTCAGGTGAACCCAAACATGCTCTATAGGGTTGAGGTCTGGACTTTAGGGAGGGTGTTTCTCAATAATAATGCTACGTCGCTTGAGGAAAAGAGTGATTCTTTGCAGTATGTAGTGGAGCATTTCATTGTCTTGCTGGAATTTGGCATTGCCAATGGTGCGGTTTATGTGGTCAATGACTGGGAGGAGGAGCATCTTGAGGAGGCGGCGATAGACAAGTGAGTTTACAGAATGAACAACCAGGGGAACAAATGTCCCACGAGTCTTCCCCCAGAAACAGCCCCAGACCATCAGAGATGTTCCTTGTTCCTTCTTTACAGTCTCTATCCCACTTTTCTTCTGGTGTTCGTAATACCGTGCTTGAGCTGACTTCTCAATTGAGCATCCATCACTCCAAATCGTCAAATCGTACTCTGAAATCTTCTGCAGTCCAATCCTTTCTCTCTAGTGCCCAGGCAAGCTCTTACATCTGTTAAATCTTGCGTCTCTTGAATCAGCAAAACAAAAGAAATTGTGGTCATGGTGAGACTCGAACTCACACCTTCACGTTTTTAACATGGTGCTCTACCTATTAAGCCACACAACCTCGTACCTGTACATATAAGTTTTCTTGTTACTTTTTATCTTTTTTATATTTATTACAGGTGAACAAAATCTCATGGACCCACAATAGTCTGGTTGGCACGACGCACAATACAAGGGAGTTTTCATCATGGAATGAATAGGAGTGTCGATGACAAGGACTACATATATGCAGGTAAAAACTTGCGTCTCTTGAATCAGCAAAACAAAAGAAATTGTGGTCATGGTGAGACTCGAACTCACAACTTCATGTTTTCAGCATGATGCTCTACCGATTGAGCCACACGACCTCATACCTGTATATATGAGTTTTCTTGTTTCTTTTTATCTTTTTTTACATTTATCACAGGTGGACAAAATCTCATATAGATTGATGGACGCACAATAAAAGGGAGTTTTCATTATGGAATGAATGAATAGGAGTGTCGATGTGACAAGGACTACGGACATGCAGGTAAAAACTTGCGTCTCTTGAATCAGCAAAACAAAAGAACTTGTGGTCATGGTGAGACTCGAACTCATACCTTCATGTTTTTAGCATGATGCTCTACCGATTGAGCCACATGACCTCATACCTGTATATATGAGTTTTCTTGTTTCTTTTTATCTTTTTTTACATTTATCACAGGTGGACAAAATCTCATATAGATTGATGGACGCACAATAAAAGGGAGTTTTCATTATGGAATGAATGAATAGGAGTGTCGATGTGACAAGGACTACGGACATGCAGGTAAAAACTTGCGTCACTTTGAATTAGCAAAACAAAAGAAATTGTGGTTATGGTGAGACTCGAACTCACAACCTTCACGTTTTTAGCATGATGCTCTACCGATTGAGCCACACAACCTCGTACCTGTACATATATAATTTCTTGTTCTTTTTTTTCTTTTCTTATATTTATCACAGGTGGACAAAATCTCTAGTCTGGTTGGCACAACACCCTCTGAAACAAATCTCATGTAGATTGATGGACGCACAAATACAAGGGAGTTTTCATCATGGAATGAATAGGAGTGTCGATGAATAGGAGTGTCAATGTGACAAGGACTACGGTACTTGGGTGTAAGGGTATGTCTGTCGAAGCACTAAAGTGACCAGGGTGTTTCTAAGGCAACGTTACGGGTATCTCAAGTATTTATTCCACGCTCGGCGCTCATTCTCACAACTCTACACTGTCGGATAACCCCTCTCGGTGTCGGATACAGAAATATCGGCAGACGCTGCTCAGGCTATATGGAAGGAAATAACTGGAGATCGCTTGCGGGGACTGCAGTGGTGGTGCAGCGACACCATATTGATGTATATAGATACTTATAGGTAGTTTAGGATAGTTCGCCAGACTTTTTTCTACATACAAATTTTGTATGGCAACGGCGCCTTTTCTCTGCGAAAATTACCAGTGAGTTCGCCAGACTTTTTTGATCATCGAAACCATAACTTTCTCGCGCCAAGGCCAAGCCTCACTAGTTTAGTGCTACGCCAGATAACCCAAGTACATGCAGGTAAAAACTTGCGTCTCTTTGAATCAGCAAAACAAAAGAAATTATGGTCATGGTGAGACTCGAACTCACAACCTTCACGTTTTTAGCATGATGCTCTACCGATTGTGCCACACGACCTCGTACCTGTTCATACGGTATAAGGTTTTTTCTACAATATTTATCGCAGGTGAGATTGATGGACGCACAATACAAGGGAGTTTTCATCATGGAATGAATAGGAGTGTCGATGACAAGGACTACATACATGCAGGTAAAAACTTGCGTCTCTTGAATCAGCAAAGCAAAAGAAACTGTGGTCATGGTGAGACTCGAACTCACAACCTTCACGTTTTTACCATGATGCTCTACCGACTGAGCCACACGACCTTGTACTTGTACATATGAGTTTTTTTGGTTTCTTTTTTTCTTTTTTTCTATTTTTTCTATTTATTACAGGTGGACAAAATCTCTAGTAATACCCCTCTGAATGTTTCGAATCTCATGTGAGGGTGGTCTACGCAGAGGCGGAAAGCCGAAGCCGACAGCCGCTGAGACCTGGACTGATCACCCACAGCAGGTCTAGCAATGGGCCCTCTAGATCCGCGGGGCCTCCTACTCGCGGGTTAGTGGAGAGACTGGCCGAAACAAGGAAGCAAGGAAGTGTGTGCGCCGTTCTAGCGATGCCTGAACAGCTGGGGCTAGGTCGTATCAAGCTTATGGGATAACTGCTTCTAAGCCCTACGCCGCCCTCCGTCACCTCTTTAGCCCTTGATCGCCTCGCTAAGCTCTGATTTCGAAGAAGGCCCGGACTAAGAAGCCGCCCCTTAACACTGAAACAAAATCTCATGTACAAGGGGGTTTTCATCTGGAATGAATAGGAGTGTCGATATGACAAGGACTACTACATGCAGTTAAAAACTTGCGTCTCTTTGAATCAGCAAAACAAAAGAAATTGTGGTCATGGTGAGACTCGAACTCACAACTTCACGTTTTTAGCATGATGCTCTACCGATTAAGCCACACAACCTCGTACCTGTACATATAAGTTTTCTTGTTACTTTTTATCTTTTTTATATTTATTAAGGTGAACAAAATCTCATAGATTGATGGACCCACAATAGTCTGGTTGGCACGACGCTACAAGGGAGTTTTCATCATGGAATGAATACGGACATGCAGGTAAAAACTTGCGTCTCTTGAATCAGCAAAACAAAAGAAATTGTGGTCATGGTGAGACTCGAACTCACAACTTCACGTTTTTAGCATGATGCTCTACCGATTAAGCCACACAACCTCGTATCTGTACATATATGTTTTCTTGTTACTTTTTATCTTTTTTATATTTATTACAGGTGAACAAAATCTCATGTAGATTGATGGACACACAATAAAAGGGAGTTTTCATCATGGAATGAATACGAACATGCAGGAGCAAAACAAAAGAAATTGTGGTCATGGTGAGACTCGAACTCACACCTTCACGTTTTTAACATGATGCTCTACCGATTGAGCCACACGACCTCATACCTGTACATATGGGTTTTCCTGTTTCTTTTTATTTTTTTTATATTTATCACAGGTGGACAAAATCTCATATAGATTGATGGACGCGCACAATACAAGGGAGCTTTCATTCATGGAATGAATAGGAGTGTCGATGTGACAAGGACTACGAACATGCAGTTAAAAACTTGCGTCTCTTTGAATCAGCAAAACGTGGTCATGGTGAGATTCGAACTCACAATCTTCACATTTTTAGCATGATACTCTACCCATTGAGCCACACATGACCTCGTAGCTATACATATGAGTTTTCTTGTTTCTTTTTATCTTTTTTTATATTTATCACAAGGTGGACAAAATCGCACAATATAAGGGAGTAAAAACTTGCGTTTCTTTGAATCAGCAAAACAAAAGAAATTGTGATCATGGTGAGACTCGAACTCACAACTTTCACGTTTTTAGCATGATGCTCTACCCATTGAGCCACACGACCTCGTACCTATCTATACATGTGAGTTTTCTTTGTTACTTTCATCGTTTTTTTATTGATCACAGGTGGACAAAATCGCACAATACAAGGGAGTTTTCATCATGGAATGAATAGGAGTGTCGATGTGACAAGGACTACATGCAGTTAAAAACTTGCGTCTCTTGAATCAGCAAAACAAAAGAAATTATGGTCACGGTGAGACTCGAACTCACAACCTTCACGTTTTTAGCATGATGCTCTACCGATTGAGCCACACGACCTCGTACCTGTACATGAGTTTTCCTGTTTCTTTTTATTTTTTTTATATTTATCACAGGTGGACAAAATCTAATATAGATTGATGGACGCGCACAATACAAGGTCATGGAATGAATAGGAGTGTCGATGTGACAAGGACTACGAACATGCAGTTAAAAACTTGCGTCTCTTGAATCAGCAAAACAAAAGAAATTGTGGTCATGGTGAGACTCGAACTCACAACCTTCACGTTTTTAGCATGATGCTCTACCGATTGAGCCACACGACCTCGTACCTGTACATATGAGTTTTCTTTTTTCTTTATATCTTTTTTTATATTTATTACAGGTGAACAAAATCTCATATAGATTGATGGACGCTCAATACAAGGGAGTTTTCACCATAGAATGAATTAGTCTGGTTAGAATGAATAGGAGCGTCAACTGTGCCAACCAGACTAGACTACATACAGGTACTTTAGGGCGTTTCTTAGCTTAGTCTGGTTGGCACAAGCCTCTCATAGTTCTTAGCTAGCCACTTTCGTAGTCCATTCTCTCGGAGGTATCATAATGGTCTAGTGTATCTAGCGAAACATGGGGGACAACAATCCTGCCGAATTTGCTCCCTAGTCCATGATTTATTCTTCTTTACACATCGAAGAATAGCCCTCCGGTCCCATTTTGCTGAGCTTCTTGGGTCTGCCGGACCTAGGAGCATTTGCCCAGGAGCCAGCGTTAGCGGCGGAGGGGCAGAATCCTGCGCCAAAACCATGCCAAGACCTTCCTAATTAGGCAAGTCTGCCAAGAAACCAGTAGAGTCAGATAAGATCAGATAAGACCGACGCCGTTATTGCCTTTGCCGGCTCTATATTGGTGGTTTTTATGCCTTTGCGCGGAAGCCATGAATACATACCACCAATATGTACACCCCGCAAAGGCATAAAAGCCACCAATATATAGAGCCGGCAAAAGCATAAAAACCACCAATATATAGAGCCGGCCAAAGCAATGAAAATCACCAATATAGAGTCAGCGAAGAACATGAAAACCACCAATATGTAGAGCCGGCAAAAGTATGAAAACCACCAATATATAGAGCCGGCGAAGGCATGAAAACCACCAATATGTAGAGCCGGCGAAAGCACAAATAGGCCAATAGCATGGATTTCCAAATATTTTTGATGTGAGATCCATCTTGAAGGGTCTTCAAAAAGTAGTAAACCACCAATATGTAGAGCCGGCGAAAGCACAAATAGGCCAATAGCATGGATTTCCAAATATTTTTGATGTGAGATCCATCTTGAAGGGTCTTCAAAAAGTAGTAGAAATACCTAAGTTAGAACCTTCTAAGCTCAGACGTTTTGAGACAATCCTGCTTACATTTACTCTACGATTTTGGAAAATTGGGAATGGGGGATTTTCTATGATCTTGCAAGAGGTATGATAGTTGGCAATTGATTATGACATGGGACCACCGGACCTTCGGCAGGACAATAACTCATCTAGACCTAATCTAGACACCTCATCAGTAAAGAGAAGGCGGGATTCAGGAGAAGTTGCTCACAGCGGACCATGTCAAGCACCTAGCGGGAAGCACCCATGCGGTCAATTTGATTAGGGCACTAGCGCAGTTCCCAGACGTGATTTTGAATACAATGAAGACGCAGGAACCGACAACCATCGTCACGTATTTGCTCAAGATGACGCATTTGTTGAGTAGTAGTTATGATGTTTTGAGGGTGGTAGGGGAGGAGGAGGGGGTGGCGAGTGCGAGGTTGGCGATATATGAGAGTGCGAGGATGGTGTTGAGAAATGGGATGGAATTGTTGGGGTTGACGCCGGTGGAGAGGATGTAAGTGAGGAAATTTGGGTGGGGGTGGAGGGGGGGAAATAGATATAGAATGATAAGAAAACTGTAGGGAAATATGTGATTGATACGTCTTTGAAAAGACGGTTGCTACTTTCTATTGCTTTTTCTTATATTTTATTCTTTCCTTACCCTTATATCTGGATATTAGAGATGGGCTTGCCAAATTTGCTGTTTTTCATCTTTCCACTGCTAGCAGAATGGCCTTTCGATACAGGTACTTCTTGATGTTCAAGGCTCTCCCTATCTTTAACCCTCCTCGCCCTCAATGATGTGCTGGAAAGGTCTATTGATTGGTCTATTGCTGTATATATAACGAATGTAGACGCGCAAAAACGTGGATGGATGATGTACAGTTCAAGGTAGGTAGATAGGAAGGCTGGTTTCTTAGTATGTGACGATGATAGCAGTTCGGTCGTGATTGTTCGAACACATGGTAGTAGATAGATGTCTGGTTCGCTGGAGATGGATTCGCTGGTAGGTTTGTGGTTGGTGGATCTAATACCCCGGCGGATTGATCCTCTGCGATACTCTTGTCCACTTTGGTACCTCTACATGCGCGCGCCCCCCCCCCCAATCCCCAATTAGCCATTGTTCCTCCAAAATATAAAAAAAATAAACCTCAAAAAACCAAAAAGAAAAAATCTCTTAAAAAACTCACTATGTATCCCCTTGCGATACTTCCTCTCATTCCTAGCAAACACAGTATACTTATCCCTAGCCTCCATCTCGTCTTCGCGCGGCATTTCTGATTTCCACCGCTCGATGCCCTTGACGACAACCCCTTGCTTGCTGAGGGCGCTGCTGAGCGTGTCAACGACTTTGTCCACGTGCCGGAGGCGCTGGCGGTGCCGGTATTTTTGGTGGCGCGAGAGGCGGTAGGGGATTTTCCTATTGAGGGTTAGCATGGTGTGTTACGAGCCGGAGTCACGTAAGTTTGGGTGGCCCAGGGAGGAACCCCTGGTGTGTTACGAGCCGGAGTCACGTAAGTTTGGGTGGCCCAGGGAGGAACCCCCGGAGGAGACCATAGTTAGTTT